GACATTTGTTATGTTATAAACCAGTGATTTAGCGTTGGTTGAAGTCATGTATAAACATCAATTTTATTTTCTTTAAAAAAAGGTAAATTGAAAAAGAAAAACGAAACGACGAATACAAATATCCCTAATAAATGTATTATAAAACTGTTTTTGCTTATTAGTTTATGAAGTGTGTTTATATTTTTCATTTGGTTGCAAGCTGAAGTAAATAAAAGAAAAGCTAGAGAGTGCATAATTAGACAGATTGAAAGAGAATCTAAGAAGGGAATATAAAAAGAAAGACAGAAAAATGAAAAAGAGACCTAGAAAGGGAAAGAAAAACTGGACAGAGAGAAAGCTGCAGATGCAGAAAAGGATGCCTAAAATGGACGTAGTAAGGAGCTATATGCCATCACAGAGATGCTCAATAGGGGAAAAAGGATGCAAGCTGTTGGAGTGTAAGAAAAAGCGCGGAACACTGAAAGCAGAGGAAAAGGGATAGAATGGGAAGAATGATGGAACATTGTGTTAAATATTGAACCGGCGTTGACCCAATTGCGGAAAATTAAATAGGAGATAAAAAAAGAACATAACACATCAGCACAGGAAGAAGACCAAATGGAAAGGTAAAAGAAGCACTGAGAAAAACAAGGCAGTGGGAGGGGAACAGGGGTAGATCAAATAAGACATAAACTGCTGAAAGCAGAAGCAAACACAGCTAGACTAGTGAAAAAATGTACAACAAAATGTGGTTGCCAGAAATCTTGCCAAAGTCATGGAAACAGGTCCTCATTGTAAAAAATTTAATGTTCAAGGAGGATGGCCTTGAAGACTGTAGCGACTGGCGCGGAGAGAATCTGTCATAGTGATTAGCAAAATGTTTTGCAGAAATATCATTGACTTGATAAAAGAAGGAAAGAGCCGGTAGGATTTAGAACATGAAGGGGAACAAAAGAGCTGATATTTATTTTAAACAAAAAAAAAAAAAAAAAAAAAAAAAAAAAAAAACCATCAGTTGACCTTCCCCCGAGCCTACCATGCTGGCTTTAACCAGGGGTACAACTTTGCTGAAGCAGTCAACTTTGCACCAGCAGACTGGGTAAGTTCAAGATCTCTAGGTTTTTATACGCCCGTCTTTAGATGGGACGTATCATGTTATGGCGATCATGCCTGTCCGTCCGTCCATCCTTCTGTCCATCCGTCCGTCTGTTAGCTTTTTTTGTGTCCGGCTCATAACTTTAATACTATTAGGCCTAGGATTATTAAACTTTGTCAGCTGAAACTTCTTGGGTAGAAGGTGTGTCGCACATTTAAAGTGTAAGTCGCTCTGACCTTTAATTAAGATGCTATGGCCAAATATGGAAAAATCCTGTCTGGCTCATAACTAGAAAACTGTTGAACTTAGAATCATCAAACTTGGCCAATTTATGCATCTTAGGTAAAAGGTCTGTTCAACTGAAAACAGATTTATTGACTAACAGAGTTAAAGATATTTTTGATAATTTCAGATAACCCAAATTAAAAACAAAGATGTTTCTATCTATTTCCTTATTTTATATAGGACTTTTCTGTAGATTACACGGTTTAAATCAATCGCGTTTCAAAGATATAAAAAATTAATACAATAATCGATTTATTTACCGACTCTACAAAAATTACAGCTATGGTAAAGTAAATTTATCTACATGTATAGAAACCTGAAGTTATCCAAGTTTAAATTCGGTGAAAATTTCAATTTAAAAGAACATAACTTATGTCAAGTATATCTATATCAATTTCGTATAATTTTATTTTTTAGTTTAGATATGCCAAATAAAGCTTTTAAAATAAAATCAAATATCATCACTTGGATACTGATGGATGCTTAGGAATCTTGACATGCAATAATTAATAAATGCATTTTTCAGATAAACGGAATCGAGATGATGTACAAGTTAATTATTTTTAGCTCTACCACTTCACCATATTTGTTTTATTATATATTGTTCACCTCTCTTGAACTCTTGACCTTCGTGTTGTGTGGAGGATTTACGACTGTTCTGAAGAGCAGATTTGCTGGTCGATTACACATACTTCTGGAATTGGTAAGTGCACTATGTGATTTGAATGATCCATCTAATGTGTTTTAATACCTATTTATTACAAATACAAGTTAAAAATCAATGTTTTAACATTTCCGAGTGTCTCGTGTGTTTTCTCCCGCTCTAAAATCAAATACGGAAGGCATAACGGACACTAATCGTTTTTGAATATTTTTTTTTTTTTTTTTTACAAAATTAATCGTTGATAAAATTTAAATGAACATGATATAAAGTCCTTGTTATACAAGAGGCTCAAGGGCATTAACGATCACCTGAGTAGAATACAACGCTGTAAAGGATCCATAGAAGTATAAAACAAAATTAACTGATAGACGAAGCAGTGTTGGTCTGGTAAAAATGCCCTTGCTTATTGTAATGTGCTAGATCCGAGTGATCTCCTTGGGTTTTCCCAAATCTTACAGGGATGAAAATGAAAATATAAATACAATGGACACTTGCCTATTGTGTAAGGTATTCATTATACACATATATGTTTTTGTCACTTGTCTAGTGCAACAATTCAGTACACAGAGACTTGGCTATACAACGTGGCTAGTTGCCAGTTTTACCCCTGACCCAGGGGCCAAGAAATTCACAATTCTGGATGGGGCACACTTCCTCATCATAACTATGTACTTAGTTCATCGGCTTAATACCGAAGATTTTCAAAAAAGTAATGCATTTTTACTACATAATCATTAGAGCCCCGCCCTAACACCAGAAACCCTGACCCAAGAGCCACATAATTAAAAATTTTAGAAGTACTTTTCCTCATCAAAACTATGCATTAGTGTGTTTGCTTAATACCCAGGAGCAGAGGAGAAGATTTTTCCCCAGAAATTATACATTTTCACAGAATATTCACAAAACCCCGCCCTTGTGCCAGAACCCCTGACCCTGGGCCATGAATTTCACAATTTTGGTAGAGGGCTTAATGCTCATTACAATCAAGCCAACAGTTTGACTGCTTGATGTCCAAGAGTAAAGAAGAAGATTTTTGAAGTTTGCATTAATTTTTATGCTTTTAATCACATCCCTTAGCCCAAGGGGGCAGGGGCCATGAAGTTCACAATTTTTACCCCCTTAAGCCATACGTGCCAAAATTGGTTGTAATTGGTTCAGTGGTTTCAGAGAAGAAGCTAAAAATGTTCAAAAGTTCACAACCGATTGACGACGGACGACGACGGACGAAAACAGATAGCAATAGGTCACCTGAGTGACTCAGGTGACCTAGAAACGATCAATAGAACGAAATAATACTAGTTCCCGATGAGCCAGAATTGATGAACACTTGGGCGACGTGTACCTAAAAATTGATGAAAAAAAATCCCCTAAAAAAATTGTACAACACTTCATTCTTCGTTTATAACTTGCTTTTTCTTAGCTAGCAAAAGAAAGGGGGATGTGCTGTAAGACATTTGTGCGGAACAGCAAAATATCATAAAGTTTTGTGTGACTCCTTAAGGTTTTGTCAAAGGTCAACATGTCCAAAAATTTATTTTTACAATAGCTCCAAAACTATGTGGTTTATAAAGTTAAAACTTTTACAGTTTATAAATATCAGTTGATAAACATATATTATTTCTGCAATGATGGTTTTCACTAAAAGTACAGAATTAAGCAGGTGCATTTTTTTTAAAAATGTGCAAATTTTTTGCATTTTTTTTTCTCTAAAAATATTTTTTTAAGTATTTGTTTTCAAGTGATACTTTTTATCTGTTAATCAATGATATATTTATAAACTGTAAAAGTTTTAACTTTATAAACCACATAGTTTTGGAGCTATTGTAAAAATAAATTTTTAGACATCTTGACCTTTGACAAAACCTTAACAAATGCCTTTAGTTACATAGAAAATTTATGAACAGTTTGCAGATTTCTAACACAAGGGGCATGAGGGTTTTTGATCCGTGAAGCTTTGTAAGTTATTTCTGAATGTTCCTTCACTTTCAAAAAAATATCAATGTTTTCATTTCAGTTAGAATGCCTGCTGGGATATCTGACCTACCCGATGAACTTCTTGTGATAATATTTTCCTTTCTGTCATTTTATTACATTGTAAAGAACGTTAAAGCTGTTTGCACTCACTGGCGATATTTAGGAGACCGTAGGTCTTTGTGGAATACACACGGACTTTTGAAATGGATAAAAGAGGCTGACGACGAAGAAAGATACATACAAAGAGTCCGTGTAATAGCAAGGCACATTGATACATTGAAGTACTCAAAAATAAACGAAGAAGAGCCCGATGACTATCTTGCCTCAAACATTGAAAAGCTTTATTTGAAAAGATTTTGCAAACCAACACCATTTCACAAGTATTTTACGTACTATGAATATAACGGGCCACTATTATTTCTGAGAAAAGACATTCTCTGTCCGAATTTGAAAGTAATTTCGTCAGTTGATAGCAACATATCTCCTACATGTTTCCGTAAACTGCTTGAAAAATATCCACAAGTTACAACTATTGTGTGGGCTAGGAGTCTTTTCTCAGAACTATGTGCTTATTTACCTTCAATTCGACAATTGCCCAAACTTGAAAGCCTAACTGTTTTCGAATGGCACGATACAGATGACTTTACGAGTTATGGAGATTCAGACATATTTTATAATAGACAAAACAGAAATGAAGATTTGCAGGATTTAGTAAAGACACACCCAGAGTTAGAAAGCTTGAATGTTTCGTTTCGGAGTACAAGTGGCCGCACAATTAAGACAATATTTGAGACATGTCAGAATCTACGGGTTTTAAAATTAAGTACTTGTAAAACCGATGAACTAGAACAACTCACATCGACATTGCCAATGCTTGAAGAATTATTTTTACATTGTTTTGACAGAAAGCCAAATGAAATGAAAAACTTATTTGTTGCTGCTTGTAAAAGTCCGAAATTAAAAAAGATTTCCCTCTTTTATTGTACGAACGTCACGGAGGAGATGTACGATTACATTAGCAGACAATGCCCTCTTCTAGAACAATTTGCTTTAGCTGAGCGAAAATTTGATGATACGGAAATGGACCTAAGCTTCTTCCTGGCTCATTGGAAAAATACTTTCATAAACAACAAAGCTCTGGAATATTTGTCTATTTGTAGAAACCTCCAAGAACTACGCATATGTTACTCAGATGAATCGGCAGTTAATGACGAAGGAATTCTTGCTCTTGCACGCGGATGTATTCAACTGAAGAAGGTCGATTTTGAGGGATGTTTAGGGATCACAGACTATGGAATTATGGAGCTTTCTCGGCATTGCCATGGTCTCAGCTTTATCAATCTTTGCCACTGTCATCATATCACAGGATTTGGGTTTAGTGCTCTGGTAATTAATTGTCCAAGACTTCAGGAGGTTCAGATGTACAGTTGTCCTTTTGTTAAACAGGTTGTTCTATATAATGATGAACATTTTGCAGAAGTTTCTATCGCCTCTCTGTATGAAAATAGGGCAGTAGTTGATACTAAGTGCGATTGTATTGAAATCTACAACTCATGGGAATCATGGGAATCATACAGCGAATCAAGGTGCTGTCCTAGAGTCATTCAAGGCCAAAACGAAATCAAATTTTTTTATGGGTTAACAGATGAAATGATCAAGCAAAGCAGTCAAAGGAATCAATATAAAGAGACTAAAACTGAATTTCAATTAACCAACATGGAGGACATGAATTTATCAAAAGCCCTTTCACCAATTCATCCAATACAAGTTCCATTCGACTGCTCTCGGATACAAAAACTGGATCTTTCAAATTGTAGGAGAATTTGCGATTCAGATGTTTTGAGGATCTGCAAATATTTTCCAGAAATAAGAAATTTCAGTCTTGCGCACAACTTCAAGTTATCAGATACAAGCATTATGGCTACGGCCAGACATCTAACACTGCTGAAGGTTTTGGACTTGGAAGGTATTGAAAACTTGACAAATACTTCTTTGAATTGTCTTCTCGAACGGAGCTTGGAGTTTTTCTCTTTTTCTCCTTATTCAAATGTGTCAGTCATTGGTTTTAAAAATTTTCTTCTGTCTAGCAAGAACTTAAAGAAAATTAAGCTCAATTTCAACAAAAAGGATATTTCGGCAAAGTTGACGCAAGATACAATTAGAAATATGCTTTCCGAGGAAGAATGTGGATTTTTCATGAAACGTGATGAATTTTCGTATTATGTTACCATTGCATCTAAATGTAGCAAATATGACTAGCCCTTCTTTTAAGCAGTGAATGAATTGTAAACATTCTCCTTATTATAGAATTGAATTATTATTATTTCTGATTGAATTATTAGAGTAACAATGGTAAATTGTAGACGTAATTCAAATACTAGCAGACAATCAGAAGCATTCCACAAATTGTCCAATGGACAGTTGAATGTTATATCGCTAATAAAACTTTTTTTGCTTATTGGTTTATGAAGTGGGTTGATGTCTTCCATGTCAAACTTTCAAGCTTGCGGAATATAGACAAAGGATAACAGTCTGATGAATGTTTTTTTTTACGAGATACTAGTACACAGAGTTATAATGATCAAATAGTTTTAGCTTCCTCACCAAGAAAAACATGAGATTTTATACATTAAACTCATATAGAAATCAAATATAGTCCCAGGTTCGTGACAGAAATGTCTTCACAGTATATACACATAAACTTAATAGTCGACCATTCGGACAATAGCAAGTTTATTGTCTCCCCTCGGCTGAGCCTCGGGAAATAGTTGCTGTCTTGGGAGACACTAAAGTTGTTATTGGTTTCATAACCAGTCAAGATTTAAGATAACTATTGCTTATAATACTCAGATAACGAGCAGTTATCAAGCTCATAAATCTCAGAAATACAGATTTCTAGCAGAGCAAACACAAACCTCTTTAAAAAAAATCAGGTTGGGATCAGTGCCATTGAGGAGCGAGCATGCATCCCCTGTCGACCGGTAACACACGCCGTGTGCTCCTTGTTATAATCGGGAAAACGGGAAAATCCTTGGACAATTCGGTATGAAAATAATGACCCAGTTTGTATGAACGTTAGTTATATTCATAATGTAAATCGATGAATTCATTAGTCCCCTACCGGTGAAATTGAAGGTGAACTATAGGTTTCCTCCTCGTCTGTCCGTCCGTCTGTCTGTCCGCACTTTTCTTCTCACTGCTTGCATATAGGCTATTGTGTTGATTTTTGGTAAGTGTATCACAATGAATTACAGATCAAATTTAAATTCGTTGCGCTTCAATTATTATTTTTACGGAATTATGGTCTTTTTTAATCTTTGTGGTTTTTTGCACTTTTTTCTAAACTCTTACAAATATTGAGCTGATTTTTGATATGTGGGTCTATCTTAATAAGTTTTAAATCAAGTTTGCAATTATGTTCCGCTTCAATGATTTTTGACGAATTACAGTATTTTCAATTTTTAATGTGAACCAGATAACAGAGTTCAAGTATTGCTAATGTAGTACTCTCGGAATTCTTGTTTTATGACGAAAATAATAGGTCGGAGGTCGGCCTTTGACCTTCTTTGTCATTTCAAAATTGGGAAGCCTTGGGTCAGTTTTCGTTCAGCACTTTGCTGGATACAGGGAAATGCTGTAAAGAGGCTTATTTTAAAACTATCCTTTATTTCTATGCATTTGTCATAAATATATATTAGATAATATTGTTAATGGTTCACATCTCTTGCTTTATTTTACAAAATTATGAAATTAATAGCCATGTTTCCTCTTCGACATGGGTTTGATTTTAAGCGTGATCGAGAACTGCATCTTGTATTTCATTGCAATCTACTATTTTTCTCTTGTCTTTTTAAAAAGGATCTAAATTCCATCTACTTTTCTTAATAGATTGATTTATGTTATTGCTTAAAGTTATTTAAACGAGCCGAAATGTCTCTAAAAGCCAAGAGTAAGAGGAATTCTAAGAAACACGTGGAAGAAGGGGTCAAAGGTAAAGAGGTCAAAACCTTATGCAGATCAGCCAGCCACTAAAAATTCGGTGCCAACTGAATAGGAGCCATGTTTAAAATTGGAATTGATTTCACTCGAGAGCCAAACAGCAGGATGAGGAATTACGTTTGTCTGTCTGCCTAGCTGTCTGTCTGTCCGTCTGTCTGTAAACAATTTTTCAAAATGCTACTCCTCCTACAGATTTGGTATGATTTTAATATAACTTGGCACACAGGTAGACTACACTTGTGAAGTTACATAATTCAGTATATCGGTTTTTGATTTTTATGAACAGTGTTGTCTTGGTTACTAAAAATAGAAAATTCTGGGAAATACTTTCAAAATGCTACTCCTCCTACAGTTTTGTTCTGATTTCAATAAAAGTTGGCACAAAAGTAGACTATACTTAGAAACATAATTTATGCATCGATTTGATTTTGATGAACGGTTTTGTCATGATTACTAAAAATGAAATTTCTGTGAAACTCTTTTAAACGCTACTTCTCCTACAGTTTTAGTCTGATTTCAAGGTAACTAAGCACACAAGTTGAATACACTAAGATACAAAATACAGTGCATTGGTTTTTGATTTTGATTTTGGTGTTGTCATGGTTACTAAAAATAGAAAATTCCCAAAAATTCCTTTAAAACGCTACTCCTTCTACAGTTTTGGTGTAATTTCAATATAATTTGGCACACAATTAGACAACACTTAGAAACATGTGCATCATTCTATACATCGGTCTTTCCTTTTTTTGCCATGGTTTTTAAAATAGAAATCTCTGTGAAATACTTTCAAAATGCTACTTCTCCTACAGTTTAAGTCTGATTTCGGTATAACCAGGCACACAAGTAGATTGCACTGAGAAACATGATTCTTTTTATCTTTTTTGGAGCGTTGTTGTCATAGTACATGTAACTAAAAATAAAAAAAATATTTTTTAAGACTTTCAAAATGCGACTCCTCCTTCAGTTTTGGTCTGATTTAAATATATCTTGGACATACAATTTCAAACTCAGATAATTCTGTGTATCGTTTTTTGATTTGAAATAATGGTGTTACCATGGTAATAAAATGGAAATTTTTTGGTAAATACTTCTAAAATCTACTCTTTCAACAGTTTGATCTGATTTCAGTATTATTTTGCACAAGTAGACTATACTGAGATGTATAATTTTATATCATTTACTGATTTTAATGCACGGTGTTGCCATGGTTCCTTAAAAAAAAAAAGAAATTTTGGTGATTTTTTTTTTTTCAAAAGGCTACTCCTCCACAAAGAGACTTAACCAAGGATCATTATTCTATTTATTGCTATTGCATAGTTTCAAGTGCAAGTGCTACTTTTCTCTTCCTTTGTTGTGAATAGAAACCAGTGAGCTACAGTCTCATCAGAGACTTCTGGTTCTTGTTTCATCCTCAGTCGCGAGAGGGCAAATATTTTAAAGTTGTACTTTATTACATTTCTTTTCTGACTTTTCTAGATTATAGCTTTAATTTGAAAAAGGTGAAGATAATAAAAAATGATTTTGATTTATGACAAGCAAGCACGCCCTTTATTTGTAGTTTGAGCTTACCTGAGCTGAAGGCTCAAGTGAACTTTTCTAATCGAAGAGTGTCCAACGTCTGTCTGTCGTCTGTAAATTTTTGACTTCTCCAAAATTACTTGGCCATTTTCAACCAAACTTGCTACATAGCATTGTTGGGAAAAGGGAATTCAAGTTTGTTCGCGGCAAGTGCCACGCCCTCTTTCAATGGGAGATGATTAAGTATTCGTGAAATTTGGTAGCATCTTTTAAAAATCTTATGTGAGAACATCATTGCATACTGTAGATTCAAATATGTTCATATCATGGCCCTTGGGAGTAGGGCGGGGCCGCAACTGGAATATATAGGAAATATCTTTTAAAATCTGCTTTTCGAGAACAGCAAAGCCATTATTAGTTATATTTAAACAGAAGTATCCTCAGGATGTGAAGATTCGAGTTTGTACAAATCATGACTCTTAGTGGTAGGACAGGGGGTCAAAATTTAACATAGGAATATTTAGGAAATATTTTTAAAATCTTCTTTTCACGAACTGCAAAGCAATATTAATACTGAAGCATTCTCAGGTAGTGAAGTCTCATGATTGTTCAAATCATGACCCGAGAGAGAGAGAGAGGGGGGGGGGGGGTAGGGTCACAACAGGGTATCAAATTTATACATAGGAGATATCTTTAAAAATCTTCTTCTGAAGAACAGGAAGGCCATGATCAGTTATATTTGAATGGATTCATCCTCAAAAGGTGTAGATTGAAATTTGTTAAAATTAGCAGCTTTTGGTATAGAGTGGGGCAGAAATGGGGTATCAGAGATTAACATTGCAATATATAGGATAAGTGTTTTAAAATCCTTTCCCCAAGAACAGCAAAGCCATGATCAGTCATATTTGGACGGAAGCATCTGAAGGTAGTGTTGATTTGTTCAAATTATGACCCCCGGGAGTAATGGTATGTACAGCCACAATGGGCAATCAAAGTTTTACGTAGGAATACATAGGAAAAAAATCTCCCTGTAGCTGGGGCAGGGTGGGGCCATAAAAAGTAATCAATGTTTTACAAAAGAATTTATAGGAAAAAGAATCTGCTGATACAGAACAGAAGGACCATAGATACTCAGGTGAGCGTTGTAGCCCATGGACCTCTTGTTATAATTTCCAGATTAGAATAGATTCTAAAAAGGTTTTGTTTTTATAATACATGAATATCGGTCTAAAATGCACTTGCCATAAGTAAGTCATGGCCTTCTACCTTATAAAGTTTAAATCTATCTCCATGCCCCCTTTTTGAAATAGACAATCCTGTACAACCTGGTTCAGTATTTTGAAGAAAAAAGCCTGCTTCGATTTTATTTACATTCTGCATAAATGATCGAGCATGCTGATAATATAGAGCCGTGTCAGCTTGAGTTCTGCTTAGGCTATTCACAATTGAAAGGCCATAAAAAAGTGTGCAATATAGTGTGTTTACTGATTAGATAATTAATAATCAATGTAATCGTGACATATGGTGATTCTATGTTTTATAGGGGGTTCTCCCCCTGTTTTTATCATTTGATTTAGTAGGGGAAGTCCATAGCTTTTATCGTAAAGTACCACTTTTGTTCAAAGCTTTATAACATATTCATACGTGATATACGTGCATTTTTAACAGGGGAGATTGGTGTAAGAATCCAAATAATCAAAGAATTAAAATAATTTTCCTTTTAAGAAACACTGTTCTCTTCTTTTTTTAATAACGTAATACTCTAGCAGTGTAACAATGGTGACAGTGTAATACAGCCTTGAGCATCCAGCTGTAAAATCAAAAAGGTAACCCCCCCCCCAAAAAAAAAAAGAGCTCCAGGGGCCATATCGCTCACCTGAGCACATTGGCTAGAGAAAAAAACAGAAATCAGTTCGTTATTAATAAATTTAAGACAAACTTGAATTTACGCTACCTCGATGCTTATCAATGTTAATAATCATGGCTTTGCTGTTCTTAATTAGAAGATTTTCAAAGATTTTTTTTTCTATGTATTCCTATGTGAAACTCTGATTGCTCATTTTGGCCACACCCTAAAATTGAACAAATTTGAATGTACACTACCTGAGGATGCTACTATAGCAATACTAGTCAAATCCGGCAAGTGTAATCTTGTTCCCGTTAAAAATTGAAAATGCCATAATTCCGTCAAAAAATCATTGAAGCGGAACGAAATGCACACTTGATCTGTATCTCATCAAGATACACTCACATACCAAAAATCAGCTCTAATCTACAAGCGTTTAGGAAAAAAGTGCGGAAAACAAGTGGGACAGACTGACATAGGAACAGCTAGACGAACAGAAAGACAGACAGACGGACGGACAGACGCAGAGGAAACCTATAGTCCCCTCCGGTTTCACCGGTAGGGGACTAATAATATTACTAATCATGGCTTTGCTGTTTTTGAACAGATTTTTTCCCCAAGATAATTCCTATTTATTTTTTATGTAAAACATTGACCCTCTGTTGTGCCCCCTAACCCCTGGGGTCATGATTTGAACAAACTGGATTCTACAATACCAAAGGTTGCTTCTGTATAAATAGGCCTTAATTGGTTTTGATGTTCTTAAGAAGATTTTATAAGGTATAACCTTATATATTCATATGTTAAACTTTGACCCACTGTTATGGCCCCGCCCTACTCCCTGGGGTCATGATATGAACTAAACTACCTGAGGAAACTTCTCTATAAATAGTTTAAATACGACTAATAATGACTTAGCTGTTCTTGAGAAGAAGATTTTTAAAGATATATCCTATATATTATTATGGTAAACTTTGGCCCGCTGTTGTGGCCCTGTCCTACCCCCAGAGGTCATGATTGGAAAAACATTGAATCTACACTACCTGAGAATACTTCTCTAAAAACATGACTAATCATGACTTTCCGTTCTCGATAAGAAGATTTTTAAAGACATTTCCTATATATTTCTTCGACCCCATCTTGTGGCCCCGCCCTACACACAGGGGTTATGATATAAAAAAAAATTGAATCTATCTAGAGTATGTAATGAAGTTTTCACGTAAATTTTATCTTTTTTGCCCAATAGTTCTTGAGAAGATTTTTGAAATATGCCACCAAATTTTCATGAATTTCTTAATTATCTCCCCTTGAAAAAGGGCTTGGCACCTACTGTGAACAAATTAAGATGCTTTTCACCCAAGGATGCTTTGTGGCAAGTTTGGTTGAAATTGGCCCAGTGGTTCTTGAGATGGCTAGATTGTTTTTAATACATTTTATTAGCACAGTGGAACATGAAATATGTTAAAGACATTATTATTAGTATGTACAATCACAATGTGCAATAAGTGGGGAAAAAAATAATAATTTCATTTATTGTAACTTACAATTTTCTGAAAATATGATACTTATCTGGCCATTATTTTATAGTATTTCTGAGTGTTTTGAGTCGTATTTCAAATTCTTGAAAATAATTTTTTGGATTGTAAATCGATTGAAACCTGAAAACTAAATATTACCGTTTACTATTTCGTTATCTGTTTAAGAAAGGTCTTAACTTTACTCACTAAAGAGCTTTAATTTCGTGGCAGTTTTATGCAGTCAGAATGAGCTGTCCTTTGATGTAAGTTAAAATAATTTGAAACTGAGGGAAGTGACACAATTGAAAATAGATTAAAGTATTCATAACATTATATTAAACCATGATAAAGCAAATTAATACATTATTTGGTGTAAGCACAGTGATTGCAACTCATAGTTTTTAACTGAATTTTCCTAGGGAAAATTTAAAAAAAAACAACTGATAACCCACAAATGTATGTTGAAAATGAACTAGATATCTTCTATTTGGACAAATTTGTATGATACAATTCCCTCAAAATTAAAAAAAAAAATCTCATTAGATATATCTGAAGTGCTTCCCTAACCGCAACAAAAATGGCAGTATACGATTCCTATGTACAGCTAAAAACAATTTCCTTGCTATACAGAGTTTAAAAATACATGTAATATTATATGTATCATTTTTGGACATTGGTTAATCATATGAACGTGTAAGAATTGATAAACATTTTTCTCTTGTAAACGGAATGGAGGTGATCGAATACAGTCACTCATTTAAACATTTAATTTTAGCTGTACCAGTTCACCATATATATTTTATTCACCTTTCTTGACCTCGAAAGCTTCTTGTTTTGTGTATTTTTTTGCGACTGTTCAGAAAAGCAGATTTGCTGGTCGTTTACATATACTTATCGCACTGGTAAGTAATTTGTATGATCCTTACAGCGTATTATTTAAATACCTCTAATTTAATGTAGTGAAAATGTACTATTTGTACGTTTCCGGGTATGATTTCTCCCGTTCAAGCAAATATCGACCAAAGAAATACGGAAAGCAAATACGGACACTGATCGATTTTTATGTAGGATGGCAGTTTTGAAAGGGTGCGTTTGGTGCAATCGATTTGTCATACGAAGTTTGATTAAAATGCCCGTTGACAGTCAAATTTTTTAACGTAATTTATATCGAAAGAACATTTTTTTGTACACAAAACTGAATGTTGAAATTTAGATAAGCATGATATACATGTAGTTCCTTTTAAATTAACACACATTTGAATGAAATAATATTGGTTTCAGAAGAGCCAGAATTGATGAACAATTTAAAATCAAACCAGATTAAAATCAGAATTTTGATTTGGTCCGAAATCCTTAAGGTATTTTGATTTTTTTCAAATCTTCATATCAATAAAAACGAAGTTGTACAATACGTGCCATAGTCTGGATGTTAACTTATTAAAGAACTTACTTTCTTAATTAGCAAAGAGACATATAATGCAAACATGACGTCGGACGTTCGCATTAGGTCATAAAATTTGAATGGCTGATTAAAAAAAATTTAGAGACATGGAAAATGTACGGTCATTAAATTTTCCAAAAGTTTGCTAATTAATACAAAAAGGCTATAAAGGTTTTTTGTCCGAAGGGGCTTTGTAACCAAAGTGCTAATATTTATGTTTTTGCCCCTGTAATCGATAATAAGGGGGCATAAACTTTTTGCCCTGTCTGTCCGTCTGTCTGTTTGTTTATTGTTTGTCCACAAAACTTTAATCTTGCCCATAACTTTTTATAGTTGGAGCTATGGCTTTCATATTTCACTGGTATATTCATTGAGACAAGACCTTTCATTAAGTACCAGTATATTTGACCTCTTGACCTTGACCTTGCAGTGCTTGTTTGGTCCACGTTTTAAAAAATTTACTAAACTTTAACCTTGGATATAACTTTTGAAGAAGGGCTTTCATATTCTACTAGTGTATTCCTTGTGGCAAGACCTTTTTCGGGCACAAATATTTTTTATTTGAAATTTGGACCTTGACCTTGAAGCTTGACCTACTTTTAAAAAAAACTTTAACCTTGGACATAACTTTTGAATAGATAATGCTAGTGTTGTTATATTTCACAGATGTATTTCTTGTGACAAGATCTTTTTTTTTTTGAAGGGGGGGGGGGGGGGGCAAATATTTTGATGACATTTTGACCTTAACGTGTGAGTTTGACCTACTTAAAAAAAAACTTTAATCTTTGCCATGACTTTTAATCAGTCGGTACTAGGGCTTTAATATTTCACAGGTGTGTCCCTTTTGACAATGCCATCTCTCTGATTCGAACAATTTTGACTCTTTCGTCTTGATCTTGCAGTTTGGCCCTACTTTTGAAAAACTTCAACCTTGGTCATAACTTTTGAATGGTAAATGCTAGGGTTTTCTTATATCACATGTATATTCCTTGTGACAAGCCTTCCCTTGGGTACCAATGGGCACCAACAATTTTGAACTTTCACCTTGACTTTGGAGTTTGACAAATTTTAGAAAAACTCTAACCTTGGTCATACCTTTTGAAAAGTCGGTGCTAAGGCTTTAAAATTTCACGCTTGTAATCTTTGTGACAAGACCTTCCCTTGGGCACAATTAATTTTGACCCATTTGATCTTCACATAGAAGTTTGACCTACTCTTGAAAAACTTTAACCTTGGCCATAATTTTTGAACGGTTGGTGCTAGGGCTTTCTTATTTCACGTGTTTTGCTTGTGACAGTACCTTTCTAGGGGTACCATTATTTTTAATATCTTGACTTTGACCTTGGAGTTTGACCTGCATTTGGGAACTTTAATTTTTGCCATGAACTGCCAAATGGGGGTATCGGTGTTTTACAAACAAATCTTGTGTAAATTGAGTTTTGAATACTTACCACATTCTCTGCGATTATTGATAACTCAAAGGTTATCAATAATCATGAAAAGATACAAATTAACCTTTAAAAATTATCAACGTTCTCATTTCAGTTAATATGCCTGTTGGGATATCTGACTTACCCGATGAACTTCTTGTGATAATATTTTCCTTTCTGTCATTTTATGACATTGTAAAGAACGTTAAAGCTGTTTGTACTCACTGGCGGGATTTAGGAGACCGAAAATGTTTTTGGAATACACGCGGACTTCTGAAATGGGTAAAAGAGGCCGACGACGAACAAGGATATATACAACGTGTCCGCGTGATAGCAAGAAACATCGATACTTTGAAGTACTCAGAAATAAATGGAGGGGAACCTGATGACTATCTTGCCTCCAACATTGAAAAACTTTATTTGAAAAGATTTTGTGAGCCAACGCCATTTCAGTCGACGCATATCATGGATATGTATGAAGAATATAACGGACCTCTCTTATTTCTGAGAGAAGACATTTTCTGTCCGAATTTGAAAGCAATTTATACTGTTGATACAAATGTATCTCCTACATGTTTCCGTAAACTTCTTGAAAAATATCCTCATGTAACAACTATTGTGTGGGCTAGGAGCCTTTACTCAGAACTCTGTGCTTATTTGCCTCCAATACGACCATTACCGAAGCTGGAAAAACTAACAGTCGTCGAATGTCAGAATACGGATGACTTTCCAAGGTACGAAGATTCCAATATTGTCTGGAATAGACAAAACAGGAATGTTGAATTGCAGGATTTGATAAGTGAACATGCTGAGTTAGAAAGCTTACATGTTTCTTTACGGAGAACAAGTGGGCGCACAATTGAGACAATATTTGAGACATGTCAAAACTTACGAGGTTTGAAATTAAGTGCTTGTAATACACACGAAACAGACGAATTAGATCTCACATCGTCATTGCCGATGCTTGAAGAATTATCTTTAGATAGTTTTGACAGGGATCCAAATGAAATGAAAAACTTGTTTGTTGCTGCATGTTCAAGTAAGAAGTTAAGAAAGCTTACTCTGTTGGATTGTACGAACATTACGGAGGAGATGTATGAGTACATTGGCAAAAATTGTCCTCTTCTCAACACGTTTGCTGCAGCTGAGCGAGGATTTGATGATAGGGATCTCCGCTTCTGCTTGGACCATTGGGAAAATACATTTGTAAACAACAAAGCACTGGAATATTTGTCCATTTGTAGAAACCTCCAAGAACTACGCATATGTTACTCAGATGAATCGGCAGTTACTGACGAAGGAATTCTTGCTCTTGCACGCGGTTGTGTTCAACTGAAGGAGGTGGATTTTGAGGGATGTTTAGGGATCACAGACTATGGAATTATGGAACTGTCTCGGCATTGCAATGGGCTTAGCTTTGTCAATCTTTGTCACTGTCGTCATATCACAGGATTTGGGTTAAGTTGTCTGGTAATGAATTGTCCAAGACTTCAGGAATTTCAGATGTACAGTTGTCCATTTGTTGAGCAGATTGTTCTTTGTAATAATGAACGTTTTCCGGAAATTCCAATAGCCTCTCTGCATCAAAATGTGGCAGCAGGCAACACTGAATGTGATTGTTATGAAGTCTTTAGATCCGGAGAAACATACAGCGAATCAAAGTGTTGTCCTAGAGTCATTCAAGGACAAAACGAAATCAAAGTAATGTATGGGTTAACAAATGAAATGATCAAGCAAAAAAATCAAAAGAATGGAAATTCGGGGAATCAGAAGAATTCGCAGACAACCATGATGAAAGACTCGGACTTGTCAAAAGTCTTTAAACGAATTAATCCATTGCAAGTTCCATTCGACCATTCCTGGATACAAAAACTGGATCTGTCCGCTTGTAGGAGGGTTTGTGATTCTGATATTTTAAAGATTTGCAAATATTGTCCAGAAATAAGAAATCTGAATCTCGCATACAATCATAAGTTATCGGATACGAGCATCATTGTTTTGGCTAGACACCTTACGTTGCTGAAGGAGTTGGACTTGGAAGGTATCAAGAATTTGACGAATGCTTCTTTGGCTTGTCTTGTCGAAGGGAATTTGGAGTTTCTCTCTTTGTATGCTTGTCCAAAAATGTCAATCATTGGATTTAAAAATTTTCTTGTGTCTAGCAAAAACTTGAAAAAAGTGAAGATCCGTCTCAACAAAGATGATCTTTCCGTGGAGTTGAGGCGAGATACAATCAGAAGTATGCTTTCCGAAGAAGAGTGTGGTTTTGTCATGGAACAAGATGAATTTTCGTATTATGTTACACTTGAATCTAAAAACAGCAAAAATGACTAACCTTTCTCTTAAAGATTGAGTAATTGATGTTCTTTACATTCTACAAATTATAAAATTAACAACAGGTTATTGTATGACTGAAGACCTTCAAATCATTCTGTTGCAACCCCGGTGATTTGTAGTGATAAATTCAGACAATCGAAAGTAGCTCACAGATTGTCCATGGATTGTTATATGGCCGTTACGGACTTTTGTACGTTTCAGTTTCTTGTATGGAAGTATTTGATTGGATGTCTAAATTTGTTACAACCAATCAGTGTCAATTTTATCTATTTTTTGGAATGCCTTATGTGTGCGGAGACGCAGAGGACTATTGGTAGTATGACGTGTTTTGCAGCTAGGCGTTAGGGTATTTCCATCCTTTTGTGACGTCACAGGTTTTTGCAAAAACTTTCAAAATTTTAAATTGCATGATAGAAATCTATGTTTTGTAGAAGTATTATAATAACAAAAAGAATATACTTTAACAAAAATATTAAAAAAGAAAATATTCTTATAATTTGTCTTTTTTTTGTTTTAAGAAAATGATAAAAATTACAAGAACTCTTAATTATGTTTTTTTTTCCAATCATGCATCTTTTCTTCAATCCCTCCATCATAAATGAGTTCTCTGATACCGACAATTTATATATACTGTAGATCACCAAAGTTTTGCGACACCTTGTTTTCTCCAGGTGGGTATTTGATATTTATAAGCAAGACAACATTTTTGATGAATTCTGGTTATTGTTGTATGTTATCTATACTACTGAAAATACCGTATATCGGGTTTTCTTGGAGGGTGTAAAATTTGGCCTTTTGCTTGCTCAAAAGTGTGCCAATAATTTTGGCAGAACTTTTTTTTTTTTTGGCAGACACTGAGTACTATGACTTTGTAAAAGAGAGGAAGTTTTTTTCCAGAATTTTTAGTATAATATATATAATAATAATATACTTCTGAATACGGATTTAGACCAGAGATTGAGGAAAAACCAACACCAGATGGAAGATATATTGTTTAACAACAGGCTGACCAAAGTTTATATTTTTCTTGTATTCTGTACTTATACGCAAGGGTGCAAATTAAATTTTTTGCTGGCTACTTCAGAACCGCTAAACTAAGCCAAAGTTAGCACCCGGCAGGCCCGTAGAGCGCGGGTAGCCCCCCCCCCCCTTTTTTTCTGAGTATAGTATTTTGCTGTAATAAATTTTTCTTTGGATGGAAAAATTACGAAGCCAGCCATGAACAGGCTTTTATTTTATCGTATATTAGAGGCCCTCGTAAAAGATCCGGTCTGATTACTTTGTGAAATATTTGGATATTTCAGATGAAGTAATCCTTCCAGCAATTAATTTTAAGAGTTGACAATTGAAACACTCTAGGCAATAAACAAGGACACTTGCAACAGATAGTTGAAATTTAATGATGTACGTTACTTTGAAAATTTATCCATTTTTGTGTTGAAATTAAAATTTCTTATTCAGTACATGATTTATTTAATTTGCACATTATATCAAGTTAATTAGCATATTATACATATTAAAATACATAAAACTTAATTGATATATTGTTTGCACTAAGAAGACTTCCAAACTTATAGATAAAACCGCGCAGATTACTAAACTTCAATCTATAGAGGCCCGTGTATCAGTTTAATGTCATCGACCTTCATGAAAACAGAAATAAAACAGGTCAATGTCCTTAATTATAAATGGATACGAATAATGTGTATGTTAGCTTTAGTTGCAGATCTGAAGATGGGGTTGAACGACCACAGGCTTGTAGTATCATTGGGCGGGGGGGGGGGGGACTTTTTTCCAAACATTACTTTCTACTGTTGAAAATGTTTAGTGGAAACCCGCCCTTCCCCCACTTTTTATTGCGGTATGGTTAAATCTTGGTAATGTGGTATTGTATTAAGAAAAATTTGGTTGTGAAATAAAAGCTTGACTTCCCACCCCCACAGGCACTAGTTTCTGTAACAATTTTTTTAACCCACTGATAGTGTACTCAGTAATAATAACACAAGGTATGTAACTCCGAATTACTTGGAGTATCCCTCCTCAGAATTTCCAGTCATTTACACTTTCAGAGGAAATGCACCGGTACTGTTTCTACTGTAATTTACCTACACAGCCATATCTGGCATGCTTGTCTTTATTTTCTTCTATTTCCGCAGAGTCATTTGAAACTCTGCTCGCCGACTGGAAAAATCTTCTCACACTATGGAGAGGTATTTACCAATCTCGAGCACAGAGCAAAATTTAAAAATAAGTGGGTTAAAAAATTAAATCCCAGTGTTAAAAATATTGCAGTATAATAAATAAAGAAGATAGGCGAACAAGGCGAGCGAACTGCCTATAGTGCGACAAACATCAAGGTGAAAAATCTAAATTTGCAATTATAACAAAATTTTCTTTGATATTTCATCTAACATTAAAGTAATGTACTTCATGTAAAATCGCCTGAATTTGCAAAATCTCCCAAAGATTGAAATTATTTGCCATGGAGCAAAGACCCATATACATGTACATTAAAAATACACTTTTATGACACAACATTCGCATCTTTCCGAGAAATAGTCACATCACAAACATGATTTAAGTGCCACTATTCATCAGGAGTTGTATAGCGTACTGGTTAGCTTGTTAGTCTCAAAGGAAAATGATACTCAGGAATTTTATTGCTGGCGTTCGAACTCCACGCATGAATACCACATTATTTTTTTAAATAACAGAATAATTTTTGCCGAGAAAATTTTCCTCAGAAAAGTTTTTTTTATCATAATTTCATGAATTCCAATAATAAGAACTTTACTCTAACTACTAAATTTACAAATTGAATATGATTTTTATATATCTATAGATATAGGCATTCTACACGCCTTGTTCACCATCTCCTTGTTTACGTTTTATTTTCCATAAAAACAGTACGATATTTTTCGGAAGTAATCTTAGAAACAGATTTTTAGCCAATCAAAATCCAAGAACATATATCGCCAGAAATTAGTACATACCACCCCTTGGTAAGGTATGGTGTCCGGATAGGGCCATTTGCAAAAGCTCAACTGCGCGTTCAGAAAAATACGCCGTCGCGCTAACACACAACACGCTGTCACGCTAACACAAGTTCGCACAACACGCCTATCCGGACACCATACAAAACCCCTCCTCATCTAATTTCTTGGGGATGTAACTGCCCAAATCCAAGAAAATTCGTGGTATGTTTTCTTATCTTTCTCTAGAAATATCCCCAACTTGCTAATGTCTCTTAATTCAGGATCATTGGTTACAAATCTTAGATGAGCTCACTCTTGACTTCAGTCTCAAGTTTCCACCATAAAATTCCTATTTCAAAAGCGAGACTGAGATCAAAAGTGAGTTCTTCTAAGTTTTATTGTCCCGGATCCGGATTTCGTCGGCTACATCTGACATTGCATCAACGATAACGTTTATTATAGATCTACTTACCATTACTCAGCTTTAGTTTACATTGTAAATTATGAAAACATTTTGTAGAATCTAATTTTGATCTAGGAAATCTTGCAACCCATCATTTTAAATGAAACTCAGCAAATTAAATATAAGCCAAGGAAACAAACTTGATAGCTTCCTGAGGAACTTTATGCACTATCAATCTATCTGAGACTTCTTTCGATTCAACTGGAATATGCAATCAGACTGCATGTGAAAGGAGAAACTACATGTAAATATATTGTTCTTGTTAACATTGTAGGCAATTGGACAAAAATGCATTTCATTATAAAAGTCGGCAGATTCCCATTATCAAATTTTGTTGCAATATCCAAAGCAGGCGCGTAGCCAGAATTGAAATAAATTGTACGCAGAGAGAGGCCCGGGGTCTGAGGGGCCACCATGCATGATGCCCCTGTGGGTCCAGGGAGAAACCCTGGCGGGGGCCCAGGGGCGAAGCCCCCGGAAGCTCCTGGGTTTTATTTTCCTTGAAAAAAAATATGCTTCTTTTTACAAAATAAATGTCTCGGTAAAACCGTTCAGTTTTAAATAAGTTGATACATGTATTTCCTTGGAGACATATTGTACACATATTAGAGGCTGAATATTTTACCGATACATGTATATACAATATACTAAAAAATTTTAGCAACAAGTATCATAAATGTTATTAACAAAAGTACTATATTTTAAATCATACAGTAGAATAACAATCCATTCTCCGATGTGATTTGAAATTTTATTTCTCAAAGATATTTTAAACATTATCAATTATTACAGAAAATTTACAAAGAGCAAGAGCCACTTAGGGCCTTTTTTGGCCCTGTGAATTTCTGAAAATTCAAAACTGTATAGTTTCAGTCAACAAGGCAATAAATAATACTTGAGCACTTGGTGAATGAATATCTACTGAAAATGATGTAATTTTCTTTCTAGTCAATATATTATGACGTCATGAATAGCGTCATTATTCATATATCCTAAATATTTCTTCAAAAATTGCTAAAATATGATGCCATTTTTCAATATTTCGTATACAGCACAACCTCCGATCCAAAATGTGCAAATATATTATAAAAGAACTGTTAATCAAGATTATAAAACATATTTTAATTTTTGGATCGAGGGGTGTGCTCATATTTTTATCCTTTGCTGAAGGTTCTCAAAAACACCTGTTTTCTGCAAAATTCAATAACATTGCAGTTTCACATAACCTGTTTTTCAATGCCTGGACTCTTCAAAGGAAATTCTGTTGTATAAACTGAAAACACTAAGTCTCTACTTTATAATAATGTTGAAAATGGTACACGGGGTATTAGTCAATAAATTGGTATATCTACAGGGCCATTTTATGCATAAAGTGAACCTTGCTCTTTATAAATAATTTATTTGGATTTGACAATGATTGATTTCAAATTTATTTATTATATAAATTTTGAATTGGAACAATATGACACAAAATTTTAAACACAAAATTAATATTTGCTGGATTGTACATTTTTTTCTCTACAAAACTCTCTCTTAATTTCTTTCTTTTTTTGAAAATGATGTGTACACATTTGCGTACTTGCGTATAGGCAGCTACACGCCTGCAAGGTTTCGAATCTTTAAGATATAGAACTTGCTTTGAATTTCGTAGACATGGAGCATATTTCTTTAACTGTAGAAATGTTCATATTCTGAAACTTAGTCCTTAGTAACTCCAGATTTATATGATCAGGAACATTACAGTAATTGAACATAGTTGTTCTGAATTAAAAGTTGACCTGGAGGGACATTTCTACAATTTTAGAAGTATGCACCATGTCTACGAAATTCGATTTTCCTCTGTCCCTCTGTGTTCTTCTGTTGGTCATGCAGTCCGTCTGTCCCACTGGTTTTTCTTCTAGACGCTGGCAGATATTGAGCTGAATTTTCAGTAAGTGACTAGATTGTCCTTTTTTAAATATAAAAATCTGCAAAATGACTATTTTTCATGCTGAAGATTTTTATTTGATGAAATATATGAGAATGAACACTACTCTAATGACAGATCAAGATAGATTACGTTCCATTTCAATGTTTTTTGACGGAATTACGGCCTTCGGATTTAGAAAATTTAGTTTATTCAGTTTTTGACTTTTTTCTATACACTTGAAGACACTGTTTTTACTTTTGGTAATTATGTCATCCTACCTAACGCATAGCAATTTTGACAGAAATGATAACTAAAACCCTAAACCAATGGAGGCTTGTGAAAAACCTACCCAAGCAACAGTTACCTCGAGGATCTTGCCAAGGCCCCAGAAGAACAAATATCATTCTCTCAGGTAACAGGGGAATGTACTCACCAGTAGCCAGATATGCCGTACGTTATTTATAGATATATATATTCCGAGTGCTCTGATAATACCATACTGTTCATAGAACACTTTTTAAAAATTAAAATTAAAATTTACTCTCAAAGTCTCTGTAAATTATACATATTGCCTTACTTGAAATTTCTCTGTACAAAATCAAATTTTAAAATCTCTTCACATAAATATACCTTTTTTAAATTGGATAATGAACATCATCAAGAAAATCCATTGTACAGGTAGTAATCTAAAGATTTGTAGTACCAGAGTTATAAAAAGTTGTAGCATGATAAATGCGATTGTCGTGTTTGTTTATTTTAAATACATTTACTTTCAAACAGTATTAGTAAAATTGTACGAATTCAACAAAATAGTTAAGAAAGGTTTTTCATTAACCTTGAAGATATCTTACTAGGATATTTTGTACATCTGTACACCCTTTTTTCATTAAGAAATTAAAAGGACACTTTTTAAAGTACAAAGAATTTATTCACAGGAAAAGTCCTTCATAAGAAATATTTCATAAAGTACTGGCCAAAGTCATTCTTTGATATTGTTATATGCTTTATGTAAAATAAACAAAAAATTAAAGGAAAAAAGTTGTAATGTATATTGTGCATATATATTACTATTTATAAGCGAACTATTTTACACAAAAGACTCCATGCACATATGTAGTATTCACAAAATACTACATGTATTTCAATTCCTCTCTTCCGATAACGCCATCAACGACCCCCCCCCCCCCAAAAAAAAAAAAAAACCCCGCCTTGTTATATGTCAAGTTCACGAAGCCCTGCGAGATGTGAAATAGTTCCCGAGAAATAGCTCCTGAAATCCGCCAGCTGTAAACTCCCTTCTATGAAAAAAACTGCCTTATCTGAAAGAGAAACAAATCTTTACTCATACATTTAAAAACTATCTAAGAACAGATTTGACAGATTTGAGAAGAAAAAAATGTGGTATCATCTTTTTATGCAAAAAGAAAAACATTTAATTTTTTGAAATAGTAGTCCTCACATAATATTGGCAACAGTAATTTTTTTTATTCTAAATGTCAAGGGGAAAGATAATGACCTTGACCTGACCTTGTTCCTAAAATAGAAAGGTAATATTTAATCTGATTTTTTAAAAACAATAAATATGAGAAGAATCCCTGCTTAAGACAGCTTTGCTTTGTTGGTTTTTATTATCACCTAATTCAATATGGTATAATTGGACTGAAGAACATGTCAAAGCTCTATGCAGCTTGATTTCTTTCGGTTTTTTTCCCTCGCAACTGAATAAAAAAAAACCCCACAAAATATAGTTTGAGTTTGTTTTAAATTACTGATTATCTTTCAATATTTACATTTGCTGTGTTTTTGTACTACGCCAACTGTGATACTGATATAATTCCAATCTTAATTTTATTTATTGATTTCCTGTGTTTTGACTGGACGCGAACAAATTCAAGAAAAAGTTTACACATCGATAAATTTCTCAACCAGAACTACTTTCTTGGCCTACATGTAGCCTTTATTGAAAAAAAATGAAACAAATCGTTTTTTCTAGTCTGTTTTAGCTAAACAATTACAGAAACTTTAAATTAAACCAGAAGTCTCTGATGAGACTGTAGCTCTACTGGTCTGTATGTATAACAAAGTAGCACTTGGATTTGAAACTTTGCAAAATGCAACCATAAATAGAATTGTGTATCTTAATGTATTCTTCTTCTGTGCCAAGTTATATTGAGATCAAACGAAAACTGTAGGAGTAGCATTTTGAAAGTATTTCACAGAAATTTCTATTTTTAGTAACCATGACAACACCATTCACTGAAATCAAAACCAAAATACATATTATGTAACGTAGTGCATTCTAATTGTGTTCCAAATTAGATTGAACAGACCAAAACTGTAGGAGGTGTAGTGTTTTAAAGGAATTTCACAGAAATTTCTATTTTTAGTAACCATGGCAACACCGTTCATCGAAATCAAAAACTGATGCAACAAATAATGTATCTTAGTATAGTCTTTTTGTATGCCAAGTTATATTGAAATCAGACCAAAACTGTAGGAGGAGTAGCGTTTTAAAGGAATTTCACAGAAATTTATATTTTTAGTAACCATGGCAACACCGTTCATCGAAATCAAAAACCGATGCTTAAATTATGTATCTTAGTGTAGTCTACTTGTGTGCCAAGTTATATTGAAATCAGACCAAAACTGTAGGAGGAGTAGCGTTTTAAAGGAATATCACAGAAATTTCTATTATTAGTAACCATGGCAACACCATTCATCGTAATCAAAAACCCATGCACTAAATTATGTATCTTAGTGTAGTCTACTTGTGTGCCAAGTTATATTGAAATCAGACCAAAACTGTAGGAGGAGTAGCGTTTTAAAGGAATTTCACAGAAATTTCTGTTTTTAGTAACCATGGCAACACCGTTCATCGAAATCAAAAACCCATGCACTAAATTATGTATCTTAGTGTAGTCTACTTGTGTGCCAAGTTATTTTCCAATCAGACCAAAACTGTAGGAGGAGTAGCGTTTTAAAGGAATTTCACAGAAATTTCTGTTTTTAGTAACCATGGCAACACCGTTCATCGAAATCAAAAACCCATGCACTAAATTATGTATCTTAATGTAGTCTACTTGTGTGCCAAGTTATATTGAAATCAGACCAAAACTGTAGGAGGAGTAGCGTTTTTAAGGAATATCACAGAAATTTCTATTTTCAGTAACCATGGCAACACCGTTCATCAAAATCAAAAACCGATGCACTAAATTATGTAACTTAATGTAGTCTACTTGTGTGCTAAGTTATATTGAAATCAGACCAAAACTGTAGGAGGAGTAGCGTTTTGAAAAATTGTTTACAGACAGACGGACAGACAGACAGACAGACGGACGGACGACGGACACCTTACCATCGCATAAGCTCTTCTGGTCTCTGACCAGTAGAGCTAATAAAAACAATACTGACGACATACAGGACTGACAGACGGGAATGTTATGTTTATGTCACTGCCTGCATGGTCAGATCACGAGTTAAATCTCTCATCGAATATTATCGTTGTTCCTAATGCTAAGCAAATCAGCTTAGTTCTCGGTAGTTGATAGGAAAGAGAAACGTACCTCAGACTCTTGCCTTATTAGCATCAAATTCGTATTTCTACATCCTATATTCTGTCCCGTTGTCTTTAAAAAACAGAGCAAATCAAGGTGTCGTGGTATGCTACTTTCAATTTAGAGCGTTTGTCGTTAATGTCAACCAACATGGCTTCTGAAGTCTACTTATATTTACGATATTCGTTGACTTAAACAATATTCGAAGAGTTTTTATAAGTTTGTTTTATTGAATGTTTTGACAATTTAAGTTAAACTTTATCGATGTTCATCTCAATTACGTTTCATTTCCACATCGCGACATAAAGTATTCCTACGCTGTATACAGATATAACGGATTGTATGGAGGCTCCAAAGAGAAATAATTTTTAAAACTTCGTAATTGGAATTATAAGATATAAACGTTCTTTTTGAAAATTTTATCGATATGTAAACTCGTGACATTTTACTCACAAAATGAACATAAAAGTGCTTCGCACTTTTATTTATTAATCCAGTAATGGAATGCCATTTTGGTGTGTACTCACGCGTAGTAATATACACGGAGAAACTCGCGCTAAAGAGACGTCACAATAAGCTACAGAGACGTTAATAAAAATGTAACGATATAGGGCAGCGAATAATTCAAACATTGAGTATATTTGTTGGTGCTTTTTAACATGTAAAATGTAAATATAAGGAATGTTTCTGGAACGACTTTACCGGTCCCCAGAAAAACGCGCTAAAATATAGTGTCGCGTGAGCGATCGAAAAAAAAATGAAAAAATGAGGTTTTAAGCCTTTTGGACCCCAAATTCGAATTCTACAGTTAAAAGTTTAGTCTAAAACTTCGTTTTTAAACGAAGTTTTTAACCTTGTTCTCTGAAAAAAAGTAATAAATATTGTTTATTCAGTGAATAGGAGACAAAACGTAATTGTGAACGAAGCGCGTGCGGCGCATGCTTAGTGCCGTTTCTTTCGTACTTAGCCATTTTTTCATGTAAACAAACCAACGAGATGTCGTTGAAGCTGAATTAAGATCTTGCAAAAAATACAGACGCAACTGATTTCTTAATTAATCTAAAAGAACAAGACACTAACCCTAATCTCTCGGATGGTATGCGAGGACTAACTCAAATCTCCCAGGCGGATGCTAGACCATGCTAGACTAACCCATGTGCGAGGACTAACCCTAATCTTTCGGATGGATGCGAGACTAACCCTAATCAGTCGAAAACTTATGCAAGGACTAACCCTAATCTTTCGGGTGGGTGCAAGACTAACCCTAACCAGTCGAAAAATGTGCAAAACCAACCCCAATCAGTTGAGTGACGTAAATCTTACGTCATAGTGCAATGAGCGCGCGGATCTTGCGGATCTGGGGACCGGTAAAGTAAAGTCTACCCATGTTTCTAAGTTTAGTGTGAATTATTGGTGTGTAAATCACACAGACTTGCACGTAAACATATTTTTCATAAAGCGCTAGCGCGCTTCATGAAATATGCCTACGTTACAAGTCTGTGTGATTTATCCACCAGTAACTCACACAAAACCTTCCTTAATTATTTAATTCATTAAGTTCGTCTGTTTTTCCCCCTCGCAGTTGAATTAAAAACACAAACCTAGTTTGAGTTTGTTTTAAATTACTGATTATCTTTCAATATATATATATATATTTCGCTTATGTTTAAGATACAAAAATATTCTAGGATTTGGTTTAACCACCACCACCACCAAAAAAAAAAAAACAAACAAACAAACAAACAAAACCGCATACATATATTATTTAATTTTCTCTAAAATACACTGTAGTTCCATAAATCAGTGGTAATGCATGTTATAAAGAGGTGCTTTTTATATGAAATTATAAATCTTTTATTCAATATTATGTCGAACCCATCACCTTCTCACCTACTATTATTATTCTCTTTTTTTTTTTCTTTTTTTTTTTTTTTTTTTTAGTTTTGCAACTGTTATTGGTAATATTCAAAATACGTATACATGTAAGAACATACTGTGAATCATTTTTTTGTTCTCGCGAACTTTATTTTCGCGCAATTGCCGTCTACTCGCATAGATTTCATTCTCGTGTATAATTGTTATAGTTCTGCCTGTCATTCCGACAAACAAGGTTTATTGGAGTAGGTTTTTTAGGAGGTAAACACTAGGGATGGCAATCGATTACAGAATTGCTAATCGGTTAACCGCAAGACGTTCCGACCGATTAATCGGTTAATCGTAATATTATACACATTTTTTGACATTCTATTTTTTTCAAGTAACTCTTTCATATACACAAGAAGACTGATATAAAGACGCTAGAAGTTAGGAATATTCTGTTTATTATCTCGATCAGGAAACTTAATATGTACCTATCTTTTATTTCAATTTCAATAGACAAGAAAAATTATAAGAAAAACATGAATTTTGCCTGAGAAAACAGACGCAGATAATTTTCCAGTGCACACACAAGTTCAATCTGCATTGACACCATAATCACAACTATGCCTGAACTTTCACTGTCCAATCTTTTTCTAATACTATAATTTAAAAGATAACGGCAAAAGAAAGGAAAACTAATTAGCTCTACGTTGTTTTATTGAATATCATTAAAGGATTACAGGATAGTCTGGTTAAACGATTTGATGTTTTTAAAATCAGTAATTAACTCACCACAAACTGACCAATTAGCCGCGATCTCAATCCAGAAAGCCATAATTACCTCCTGACAAGCTTAATTATTAGGTGTGTAAAAACCGTAAATGATCAACTCTTATGTGTTGAAGTTTCCTTTCTAAAAATGAATTTTAAGAAAATTGCGTTCAAATTTGAATATATTTTATTTTTTTCCGATTAACCGATTACGGATTTTCTAACCGATTACCATCGTTCCGACCGATTAATCGATTAACCGGTTACAAATTGGCATCACTAGTAAACACAAATGTCGGTATGGTCCAGTCTATAATATATTCATGCGATTTCATTCGGTTAATTAGTCATTTATCTATACATGTATTAACCACGGACAAACAGATGAACACAGATTCATTAGAAGGGGATTAAAATACTAGTTGAATATGTATGTTAAACTTGAAGAGTTAACCTATTACGTTTCAAATCTTTAAGTTAAATATATGTTAAGTTTACGCAGACAGACAAATCTAAGGACCAAGAGAATAAAAACATTTTGCCCCCGATCTTCGGGAGCATAAAAATTATTTAAGAAAAATATGAGAGTGTGAAATCTTCAAACACAACCTGGTCATTGGAGATATTTTACAGGACAAACAAAAGAAAAAAAAATGAATAAAGTCACATGATTAAAGATAACCAATGAGAAGAATAAATCAAATCACGTGTTTTAAAATATTTCAGGAACTACTTACCAGGTTGTGTATAAGGTCGCAAAATTGACCCTGAGGCTTGACATTTATAGTTTCTGAATGAAACACGTTCGTCGTCGTACTTCCCCTCCTTAAAGAAAATAGTTTTACCTTCAACATTTTGCATAGTGATTAAATTTAAAAGTTTGGAAAGAAGTTCAAACCCATTGTGTTATTTGTTGTTTTGAAATGTACACAGTATATAGAAGCTTTCACATAAGTTTTGTCTTTTTACTTTCAAAACCTTTCTGCTGATTAAGTGTTTCAAAGAGATACTAGTATGTTTCAAGTGGACTGTTTTGTAAAACTCCGTTTTCGTGAAGCAGTTTACAAAATTTGCTGTAAACATGCACCCACATTTAAAAAATAGCTTATACTAATCATAGCGAAATTTCCCCTTTTACAAATTTTCATGCATATAATTTTTTTTAATTTCTCAAATTACAAATAATGAGGCCATCTTTAAAAAATTGTTTGGTTGCCCTCTCCCGACGACTGGCTAAAAATGGTCTGACTAAAAACTTTTTAACTACCAGGAAACATTTTCTTTTTATGTTTTCCGAAAAATAAATTTAAAAATTCAGCATTAATGTTGTTTTTTTCTGTGAAAAAAATTCCCACCTACATGTACCTACCGATCCACTTTTTTCATCCTAAGTCGGGGGAGGGCAATCAAGCATAATTTTAAAGTTGGCCTAAAATAATAAAATTTGAACTGTAAGCGTAAGTTAAGGCACTAAAAACGAACCACTAAGTCGATTGTTTTTCCATCGGATGCCAATCCGAGGAACTTCGAGCTGTCTGTCACAGACTGATAGGAGTACACATTGAAGAAACTAAGGTTTTGGAATTTGATGCTCCGGTGACGAACAAAGTGGCCAGCTAAACATAATACATTTAGTATTAATAGCTGGCTATATATCAATAAGTGTAAAATTGTTTTGTTTGTCTTTTTTAAAAAAAAAAAATGTCTAAAGCGTGAAGTAATATGTAACGTATAAATCCTTTTTGAGTTAAATACGACAAGAAATTGCCTATAAAGCATAATTTGTCCCTGTTGCGTTCTTTAGACTATTAAAAAACAAATTGCATACACATTTGTGTATTCATTCCTTTTATGCGTACTTGCTAACCCCCCACCCCCCACCCCAATTCATGACTTGTCAGAATTAGCCAACTTTCGAGCTTTTTTAAAAATTATTTACCAAAGCATAACAGAATTTCATTGACAAAATGTTTGGTACCAAATTCCAGTGTTTATATATATATTAATTTCTTTTTCCACAATTTATTGGAAATCCTGGAACATGAAAATGCAAAAGAATTCTTATCCAAAAATAAATCGGATGAAACAAGAAGGTAAGTTGAAGAAAGGAAGAATATTTTTGCAAGCCATGCTTACATTGGCGTTTCTTAAAATTATCCAATATCGCGAGTCCAAGGCGTCCGCCATTGTTAATCAGATATTGGCAAGCGTTTGCAATTCTCAGTGCTGTCACTAACTGATATGGGCTGTCTGTGGGTTCCTTTACAATTATTTTCACGCAAACTACAAAATGGATATACAAAATATGAGTGGAGCACAAAAGGCAATTTTAGAAAATTTTTAAACTTTGTCATTTCTCGTGAGATGATGAGAATAAAATTGGATACACATTATAAAGCATACACATGTACATGTAGTTTAATAATTCAATACATGTATTTTAAATAATACGAGTACATCAAAGACAATAGAGTAGTTTAAACAATGTAGCCAATGTATGTTAAATATTGGAACAAACTTTCTGGTACGTAAAACATAAATTTAGATGTGACATTAAATCTCATTAAAATACTACGGATCCTCGTAATTACCATCCGTTTCTTCGGACCAATCTGTAAAAGAGAAGAGGTGTCAAATTCTGAAGCCTTTTGTATATTTTTATCACAAAATAGTTTGAGCAAATATATTTTTAGAAAAAAAAATCAATTAATCTTTTATCATACTTTCTACTTAATAAATAATTAACATTTCACTGGTCCATGTTTCTATTAGCGATGCTTTTTTCCCTTCTTTCACATACCTTTTAAAATGTTCTTCATGCAAAATTTAAGCTTGAAGTACGTATATTTTTCACTTCGAGGCCTACATCTACATATCATCTATCAAAAATTAAAAAGACAAATTGTTAATCTGCATTTAATATATATCAACGTTCTTTTCGAATAACACAGCTTGTAATTCCCTAAAAAAAAACTTTTCTGTGGATATATGAACACTGAATCAGGAAGTATTTCATATCTAAGGAAAATCTTTATAACTTTAAATTATTTTTATATTTTTTATTTATTCTACTCTAGAACATCACATAAGTCTTATGAAGGTTGGTAAGGTAGATACATGTACGATGTTTTGATTGCTGGGGCCCGAGTATGTATATAAATATATACAGTCAAACCTCGTTATCTTGAATTCGATAAGGCCTATTAAAAGTTTCGAGAAATCAAGAATTCAAAATACATGCATTGTTGGTAAAAGAGAAAGAGAAAAGCGATTAGGACTTACTGATGACTTCAACATATCCATGGTATTCGAGAAATTGAAGCGTTCGAGATACCGAAGTCAACTGTATATATATATATATATATATATATATATATATATATATATATATATATATATATATATATATATATATATATATATATATATATATATATATATATATATATATATTAGGGATGTCAACGAATATTCGAACATTCGAATATTCATTCCATAAGTTGATATTCGAATATGAATTTAAGATTCGAATATTCGGTGTTTTTCAGATTTCATAAAAAGAAGTACTGTGATTAATAAATTTTGATTAGAACAGTGCTGGAATTATCCCTGTTTAATTTACTAGCGATCAATTTCGATCGCCCGATTTCTTTCACTATTTTCTTATCTTATATAGATCTACTAAATTATTTTGTTTCGAGTAAGGTGTTTAAGAATTATACAATAATGCTTTATGTATAATACAAAACGTACTTTCATAGTTTTTATTAGTTAAATACGATCGAATCTAGAATCGAGGACAACGAAATGAAAACCTTCTTAGAATGTCTAAAAGACGTGAACAGTATACTTATGAAAACAAATTTAATTGATCATTCAAATAAATATCCGATAGAATTAGTCTGTAATTAATATTGTAAAGGGCTCAATTTTGGAGTAAATGTGTAAATTACTTGATTATCTCAGGTTGTACATAATCCTGAATTTTATATTCATTATCGGGAAATTAGTTAATTACCTAGGAAAATTGTCTATGGAATTGTTTGTTTATATTTCATAAACATTGTATCAAAGAATATAATCATATCTCTTATAAGCCTGATGTAATTAATTACATGCATTGAGATCTGAACAGTATACGACTATCCTGCCTGTGGTAAAACGACTGGTTCCTCAGTTGGAGCTACTATAAATACACATGTATCATTTGTTAAAATTATACTTTTCTACATTTAAATCACTTTTTTATTTCAAACATTGACAAGTATCAAATGGATTCCGTTATTGTACACCTATAGAAGTTTTCATACAATTTCATTTCAAATATAAGAATACCTACACTAAACTTTCATGAGAGTAGGATGACGCGTATTTAAAATATACCAGATCTTATTTATTTTATCGAATATTCGAATACTTTCATTGAATATTCGAATATGAATGATTGACAAAATTGATATCCCTATATATATATATATATATATATATATATATATATATATATATATATATATATATATATATATATATATATATATATATATATATATATATATATATATATATATATATATTAGGGATGTCAAGATATTTATTTTCCTTAGTCGATCATTCGATTGCATTATTCGAACGATAGTCGAATATTCGGAACATTTTCTGAAAATAAAATTTTATTTCATACTTCATTGGTACATACTCAGAAACCTTTTTACTTAAATCTCTATTAGCATGATTCTATGAAATAAATTTAGAAACCTAATTCTCCAAAATTTATTATTTCCCCATAAATAGAATTCATAAATCGGCCTGTACATGCGGTCAATTTTTTATTTAGTAAGCATTAAAGAATTGCCAACTGATATTTTTTTTTAAAGCTTATTATGAAATAAAATGTAAGTGCACTGTTTTAATAATTATCGATGTATCAAAACAGGTTACTTTATTCCTTGCATTTGAGCAAACTTAAAATAACAAAAGATAATTGTCCAATGAATAATTTTACAAACAAAGCCCATTATATTGATTATTTATTACAAAAACAACACAGGCAGTTACTGACAATTAATTCTCGCAGTAGTGAAGCATTTATAATTGCTGTACTTTCTATGCGTACATGGAAAATCTACCGTTTTTTGTTCAGGAAAATTACCGACTGTATATGAGAAAAGACTGTTTCTCATTTTTTGATGAGAATTCCATCTCATCTATCACTCATTTATTGCATTTATTTAGTTAAAATAATATTCGAATGTCGTTTCATTATTCGATCGTCGGTCCATTCGACTGATAGTCGAATAGTCGACTATTCGTTGACATCCCTAATATATATCTATATATATATATATATATATATATATATATATATATATATATATATATATATATATATATATATATATATATATATATATATATATATATATATATGTAAAATAAATACTTGGGCTCGTTCAATCAAACCATTCTAGATAAAAGTCCCTGTGGAAAACAAAAACGCTTTTAAAAAAAATATATTCACCATTGTACTGGATTTGTCCAGCGAGACCTTTTGAAAATATTCGGTGACTTCAGCATGGCTGACCGGTGGTAAAACAGAAACATCTTTAAAGTTCAAGGATACAATGACGTCACCATCTCTATGAAGAAAAGTAGTGATCTGTATTCATTAGAAATGTCCTAAAACATGTATTGATAAGCTCTGAAGCGTTCGTTCGATATCTGCATTTAAGCAATTCATATATGGATCACCCTGTTCTCAATAAACTTATCCTTATGAAATATTGAGATAACGAACAATATCCAAGCTCAAAGTCCATTAAAACAATAATCGGGAGCAGAAGAAAATTCGGACCTCCAAAACAGAGTTTGGATCGGGTGCCATGGAGGAGTGAGCATCCCCTGCCGACCGGTCACACCCGCCGTGTACTCCTTGTTATAGTCGGTAAATAGCGGAAAAATCCGTCCACAATTCGGTGTGTAAATAATTAATGGCCTTACAATTAGTATGAAAAACGTCAGTCAGCATATGACTTAATGATAGATTGTATTTGCTGAAAAGGTCATTGTATCGACCATGGAACTTACGAAATGGTGACTTTAAACGAGACTGTTCATATTGTTGTTTCATCAACTTGTTTGTCAATAACTTACCTCGTTTTAGAAATTGTTCATACGTAGAGCAGGCTCTAGCGTATCGAATCAAGAGAGAGATATGCACCCCATATGCAGGTGATCAGGGCATATTGCTGCATAAGTAAGGGGACTTGACGATTGAAAAGTTAAGTTCATCACATTTATCCCAAAGCTTGGTTGTTATATTACCATTAACATTTTTTTTTTATTAGAAAAAATATCCAAATATGAAACAGATGTGTCAGACTCTGTGATATCTTTTATTTCAAGCTCACTGGGATTTATCGTGTCGACATATCAATGGAAATAACTATTGTTAATTGAAAATACGTCGTCGATATATCTAAATGTCAAGTTGAAGGCCACAGCAAGAGATTTCTTTTTCTCGTGTATGATTTTGAATATGTATACCTATACAGAATATTTTTCAAGGAAGTCGGATATACTTAAGTAATCTGAGAAAAATATCAAATGCCGTATCAATTACCTAATCGAAAAACTCTTGAACAGAACTCCTCTTTGATCAATGTCCTCAAATCTATGAAGATAAGACCCATCCTTCCTTTTCGTCGAACAGATAAATCCTCCCAATGATACGCCTCTTCCGGTATCCATGTTTTCTACACGAACTTCCGATCTAAACATTTCTTCACACTAAATGTGATATTGAGAACTGATTACCTAATTTTAATAAATCCACTAACAGTCTGGCAATAACATTTTTTAATAAAAAAGGAAAATGTATTTAAACTTAATTTTTAAGGTGTTTTTAACTTCAGCACTCAGAAGTTTAAAAATGCATTTTGAGTAGGAAGATAAGTGATATGTACGTGTTACAGATCATCGCTAAAGCAAAAAAGAAAAAAAAAAGGTTATAGTTTTTGTCAGCATATGTTTGCATTGTATTAAAGAGTTATCTTCTACGACTTTACCGCCGAAATTTGGCTGAAATATTTCCGACTTGGCGTTTATCTATAACAATCTGAAAATCAATCTACGACTTTAAATGTTAAAGCTGCACTGTTTCAGTTAGCTGCAAAACAGTAGCTCACTGGTTTAAAATTGTTGGCAGCATGGGAGACGAAAGAGGTACAATTCCATGCATACGAAAAGTTGCAACCAGTGAGTCTCGTGCTATATACGGCACGTATAGAATAAACCGAATATTCCTAATATATTCTTATATTGCGTCTACAACAAAACATTACCTGCAACATTCATGTACAATATACAGTCTCTAAGAAACTTTGTATGTGCTTCTGATACTTTTTTCTTTTGTGGGTTCAAGAACTTCATAAAAGCATATAAGATAATTTCTATTTTTTATGTGAGTGCTGTGACCAATTTGCTATTTGTCTTTTAGAGACAACTGAAATCTTATCAAATATGTTTCCATGCTCTTGAATGAAGAGTTGTTTTTTTTTTTAAATTAATTTGCTGTAGGAAAGCCAGAAAAATATTCATATACTTACTTGTATCCTTTCAAGAGTGTTCAATCTCCAAATGCATTTCTTTTGTTCATGATCAATTTTCTCTTCGGTGTATTTGATTTTAGTGAAGGTAAAATTATTTTCCTCAAAGTTTAAGTCCTTTAGAAAAATAGGAATAGAAATAACAATGACCTTTTCTCATCCTTTTAAAGAATGTATGCATGTATTTTATTGCACTTTTTGATTTTTATTCTTACTTGTACAATGGATTTTTCAATTTCTCCTAGTTCTTCTCCATTAAGTAAGAAGCCGTTGTTATAACAGAGCTGTCATGATACAATTAGAAATAACTAATATGTTTATTAACATTATTTGTATAAGGTATCTTTACTTCTACTAGAAGTGGTATGTTTAGGCTCAGGTGACCTATTTCCATCTGTTTTTGTCCGTTGTCGTCCGTCATGCGTCGTTCGTAAACTTTTGAACATTTTCAGCTTCTTCTCTTTAACCGCCCAACCAATTGCAACCAATTTTTACATATAGCATCAATATAAAAAGGGGTAAAAATATTGTGAATTTCATGGTCCCTACCCCCCTGGGGCTCGAGGGTGGGCTTAAACCATTAAAATTAATGATATCTTTAAAGATCTTCTTCTTTACTCCTGGAGATCAAGCAGTCGAACTGTTGGCATGGTTGTAATAAGGATTGAGCCCTCCACCAAAAACTGTGAAATTCACGCCCCCAGGGTCAGAGGTTCTGGTGTTGGGGGTGGGGGGTCTAATGATTATATAGTGAAAATGTATTAATTCTTTTAAAATCATCTTTGCTCCTGTGTGTTTAGCAGATAAATTAAGTACATAGTTATGGTGAGCAAGGATGCTTCTTCCAAAATTGTGACTTGTGTGGCCACTGGGTGAGGGGTTCTGGTGTTGGGGTGGGGCTACCTCTATGGATTATATAATGAAATTGCATTATTTCTTTAAAAATCTACTTCTCTACTCCCGAATATTAAGCAAACAAGGTAAGTCCATAGTTACGATGAACAAAGGTGCCTCATACAAAATTGTGAATTTCATGATCCCTGCCTCCCTTCCCCCCCCCCCCCCCCCCCGAACCTGAGGATGGGGCTAAAACCATCGAAATTTGTTCTATCTTTAAAAATCTTTTTTGCTCCTGGACATTAAGCAGTCAAATTGTTGGCATGGTTGAATTAAGCATTGACTCCTCTACTTACTCTGTGTAAATCATGGCCCCAGGGTAAGGGGTTTTGGAGGGGTTCTAAAGATCATATAGTGAAAATACATTAGTTCTTTAAAATTCTTCTTTCCCATAGCAGATAAACTAGGTACACGGTTATGATTAGCAAGAGTGCCTTTTCCAAAATTTGTGGCCCCAGGGTCAGGGGTTATGGTGGGGGCTTGGGTGCTCCATTGATTGTATAGTGAAAATGCATTGATTCTTTAAAAATCTTCTTTTTCTCTGCTCCTGTGTATTTAGCAGATAAATTAAGTGCATAGTTATGGTGAGTAAGGGTGTTTCTTTCAAAATTGTGAAATTTGAGGCCCAATGGTCAAGGTTTCTGGTTGTTGAGGTGGGGGAGGGGGTTCTATTGATTATATAGTGAAACTGCATTATTTCTTTGAATATCTTTTCTTCTCCTGGATATTAAGCAAACAAAGTAAGTGCATTTTTATGATAAAAAGAGGTGCCTCTTCGAAATTGTTAATTTCATGGCCCCTGGTTCAGGGGTTCTGGTTTTGGGCAGTGCTCTATTGAATATGTATACTAAAAATGCATTAATTCTTTAAAAATCTATTTCTATGTATCAGCTAGGTTATGATGAACAAGGATGTGTCTTCCAAACCTGTGAAATTCATAGCCCCTGGGTCAAGGGTTTTGGTGTTAAGCGGGGCTCTGTTGAATATATCTTGAAAGTGCATTATTTCTTTGAAATTCTTCTTTTCTGGCCCTGGATATTTAGCAAACATACTTAGTACATGGTTATGATGAGCAAGGGTGCCTCTTCCAGAAACGTGAACTTCCTGGGTATAGGGTTATGGGGCTAGGACGGGGTTCTATTAATTTATAGTATACTGGGAGAAGTTTTATTCCCCGTTGCTATTCACCTACGATAATTAATCACTGTAAATAATGTAATTGAAAGCTTGATTGAATAAGAGAATTATAGAAGAATTTTTATCATATGTAATACAAAAAGTACTTTCATGGATTCTTATGGTCAGGTAGAATTGTAAATAATCGACAAATACAAAAAATGCCCTATCTTTGTACATTAAATGTTCTTTAAACAAATGGGACAAGTACAGGCAAGTAAAATAGAACTACTTTAAGTACTAGACTAATAATTTTGTTGATCCTTGATTATCGTGTTTTTTTTTCTTTTTGGGCAACATAGCTTCATCTATTAGTTTATTTTGTTTTATTATACCCCTTTCAAATGAAGTTTGGGGGGTATATAGGAATCACCTTGTACGTTTATCCATGCAAGCTTATCCGGGCTATACTTTGTGATAGATCATTGGAAGCTCATACTTGGTACAGAGATTATTATGACCTGAGGGTGTGTCATGACATTGACCAATGTCATTCTGGCAAGTTCAGGGTATAGCAGAAAAAGCATATAAACATCTTGTTTAGGCTATAACTTTGTAATAGACAATCATTGGAAACTCACACTTGGTTTATGACCTGAGTGTGTGTCATACATGTAGCCTTGATCCAAGGTCATTTTGGCAAACTCAAGGTCACTGGTATAAAAACTGTAAAAATTATTACAGGTCTATAATTTTCTAATTGAGAAACATTGGATGTCCATATTTCACTAAAAGATTACATATGACCGAGGTATTTTTGGTAAGTTCAAGGTCACATTTACAAAATTTGAATGGGACTTTTAAAAAGATATTTTATTTTGGGATATTATTTGGTAAGCTTGCTCACAGTACCTCCAGTTTTATACTTTTATGGATGCTTTACAATGTTGTATTATAATCAGGTGACCATAAAGGCCCTTGGGCCTCTTGGTTTTTTTTCCCCTCGATTAGAAAAAAGATGTTGCATAAACATTATCCAATAAATTAAACAATTTGGTCCTTACAAAGAATTGACGTTAATATATGACAAGCATTTTCTGCTATAGTCAGATTTTCATCTTTTTTTTTAAATAACTATAATATAAATATAATATAATATTTTAAGTAACTATAATAATAAAATGAATCTTTCAGCAATCAATGAATACATGTACGATACTTACATCGCGTGTTTCTGGTGAGCTCATGGCTGGGGACCTGTTGGAAACTAAAGCAACAAACCAAGCAAAATATATTTATAACAGCCGAGATATCAGCCTTCTTCCGGGGCGGACGGATTTTATATCCTTCAACTATGAATTCTCAGTCGTGCTCAAAAATGAAATATTGGCTTAGCTTCGAATCGAAGGTTACTATCTTTTGAACAGCATGCAAACATTAGATACAAAATTTTTAATGAACATTCAGTAATCAATGCAAGTACCAGATATTCTAGAGTTGAATAGTTGATGCTGAACGAATGCAATTGGATGTAAAAATAACTGTTTTTCTTCCTTGTAAGTTGGTTGTTAAAAAACGAAAACGGGTAGGTTTATCAAGCCAGTGAAGGTCAAAATTTCCAGGAATTTGTTGTGAATCTATTTCAATGTTACTCAATTTGTATTCTATAATTTGGTATGATATACACTGTACAGTGATTTATAGTCAGTTGAAGATACGAGTTTTGGAGAATTTGTTGTGTATGCTACCATTTTAGAATTTTCTTTTAAAAGTCCATTCTAAAATTTTGGATAGTAAAACAAGCAAGAGTATTGTATTAGCAATACTAGTTCCCTAACGGCAAGTGTTATTTGGTTCCCCTTAAAATAAAAAAAAAGACTTTAATTCCGTCAAAAATCATTGAAAAGGAACAAAATGCAAACTTTAAGGTACAATCACATAGCCCCCCCCCCCCCCAAAAAAAAAAAAAAAAACTCGATCTCTGCAATAAAATTGGGAAACCTCATTTCCTGTAAGAATTTAAAAAGATGCCCAATTCCGTCAAAAATCATCGAAGTGTAACGAAATGCAAACCTGATCTGTAACTCAACAAGGTACACTCACATACTAAAAATCAGCTCTGACAATATTTACAGGCGTTTAGGAAAAAAAAGAGAGCGAAAAACCAAGTGAAACAGACCGACTGACGGACAGACGATGGGGAAACCTGTAGTCCCCTCCATTTTCACCGACAGGGGACTTGCAAAAAATTTTAATTGCTATATAGCACACTTTACTTCCGATTTTTTTTTTTTTTTTTTTTTTTTTTTTTTTTTACCATATAGTAAATTCTTTTACATAGTAAATATAGTAAATCCTTCTTCATAATCCGGAATTAGGTGCATTTATCGTGTTTATTTTGATTGACGATGACAATCAAAATTAACATGAACAAGATTTCTGGTCAAAACATTTTGCAAGACTAGTATTATATCTGTGCCTAAAATATGAAATTATGGTGAAAGTGGTATCTGTGTGAACCATGAAGCTTTCACATTTATCTAAGCAAATGCAATTATGACTTGTTTTTCAAAGCTGCAGTTTTTTTCTCACGATTTATTAAGTAATGAAATGTGATCTTGAAAAGAATTAAGTACTGAGGTTTGTTAGAAATGTGCTAAAAATGCATGACTGTTCGCAAAAATGTTGATAAGTTATTTTAAAGGACTTGGGTATCTCCGAACATCAATAATTTCAAAGAGTTGAAACTCACAATATGACGTTTATAACAAATCAATAATGCTGGTTACTGGCACTTCGCTATAAGCGTGTTTTACTGTACTATCATGAAGTAAATATTTTACTATGGGGGATGTTTACTATATAACACCAGCACTTAACTATAATATTCTTTTACTTTCAGATGTAGAATTAATTTCTTATAGAAACCTTTAGATATTACATATTATTAGTTGTTTTTTCAGGTAATATGAATCTCTCAAGGAATAAAAGGTTGACCCAGACATGGCCGTAGAAACCGGGGGCGGGGGGGGGGCACGGGTGGCCGTGCCCCCCCTCCAATAATTTTGCCGATATATAGATTACTATAGTAAACATAGATACTATAATAGATACTATATGCTTGTGCCCCCTCAATAAAAACGTCTGATGACCTTTTTTTTTTTTTTTTTTTTTTGCTTGTCAGGAAATTTTTGGTAGTGCCCCCTCACCTGTACAACTGAAAAATGTTTGGCTGTGCCCCCCCCCCCCCCCCAACTAAAATTGCTTCCTACGGGCCTGCCAGAAAATCATACACAACAAACTTGTACTGTATATGCACATGTATGTATTTCCGATCAGAGGAGGAAACTAGATGTAATATTCAAGTAAACAATTTTTTATCAAGGAATTCGATCATGTTTATGTAACAAAATATGCGATAATCAATAAGTAGATTAAAAAAACTAGTTTACGGTCCTCAATTTACACCAATGAAATTAAACAAACCATTGGATTGGTATTTCTGCATGAGAAGGGGGAGGGGGTATTATGGGTTATTCACTTCCCGATTTTTAGTCTGTAACTTACTTTATTATATAAGGTCCATTGACTCTTTGATAAGTAGTATAACACTCATTGGGATAAACAATCTTCGCTAGCCAAGAGTGTCTGATACGCTACACTCTCCTCACAAGTTGGTCTGAAAATTTGATTATTTCCCCTCCTCTAGCTCAGTTGGTAGAGCACCTGACTGGAGATTCGGGGGGGGGGGGGGGTCGAATCCCGGCCTGGTCCGTCGCATTTTTTCTCCTTTCCTGTTACATTTTGTGCCGTGCCATGCCCTGGAAGTGACAGGTGAAAGACCTGCTGGGGAAGAGCCTGGGTTGGTGTCTTCGGGGGCCGAATACCTTTAAGGAGGGAGGAATGTGGGGGTCAGACGGGTTCGATCGATAGCTCAGTTGGTAGAGCACCTGACTGGAGATTCAGGGGGCCCTAGTATTAGTCAAACCTATAACCTTTCTTATTTAGCCGTGCACCTGGTATTGGAAAGATTTTTTATTTAATACTCCCAATAATGACTAAAACTTGAAATATTAGAATGAGAAATTCTTATTATAGACGCGAGCGGTATTGTATTTTATTTTAACCTTGCTTCTCTCACTGAGTTCTGTTAGGAGTTGAACAGAGATATACAATCAAGAAAGAAAGATGGCAAGGTTTGCTTGATGAGTTAGTTTAATTAAACTGTTATAATATTGCTGTTTTCGATGTCAATCGTATTGACCTCGGTAAATAGCAGCTATAATTGTACAGGCTTATATATGGCTGTATTTTTTTTTCTCACAACGTCAGGGACGTTGCCGTTCCTACGGCAACGTGTTGACTCAGGACCCCTGACGTTGTGAGGATGATTTTCCCATAGAAAACACTTTTTATAGGTATAAGTTAGTTGTATATGCAAATGAAGCAATCCAAAAATGGTGAATCTGTGTTATTTTTTGTTCGTTTTCTCAGGTTTGATTTACTGAGGAAAAAGTAAAGGCAGAGAGAGAGAGAGAGAGAGAGAGAGAGGTCTGACAAGCAGAAAAAACCTACATGTATCTCTAAAACCCTATTTCGGGGTGGAGGCTTTGAGTGAAAATCTCCATGCATACTATTTATAAATTACTTTAACCGTTCTAAAGACTAAAGACTATTTTAGGGGGAAAAGTGGGTAGGACGAGGGCAAGTCTCACTGATACCACGTGCCTGTAACTGTATCTGTTTGGAGTTATTCCCCTTTCGATGGTTTCTTATTGGCGCGGCGGCTGATCAATCTGCACGTGCAGATGTTGCACTTCGATCGTCCTCGATGTTTGGGTTTTTGTGTCAACGGATGTTGATCAGGTAAATTAAAATAATCATAGTAAATCATTAGGTCTGCTGTATAGAGTAATTTTATGTAATTTTGTCAGACGGTGCAACCGTTAGTGATGAAGGCAGAGCCGTCAGAAGCATGTGTGATAGACCTTTGACTACATGTTTCTTAATAAAAACAGGCGAGTAACAAGAATGGAAATGAAGTGTACGCACAGAACGGCACGGGGTTTGGGGGCAGCCGTGAGGCCCCAGTTGGTCCAGGGCGAAGCGCTGTTGAGGGCACAGGGGGCGAAACCCTCGAAAGCTCCTGGGTTTTACCAGGTATTTCAATCATTTTCTTGGGGGGAAAACCATGCTTTTTCGCTTGTCTTTACAAAATAAAAGACTTGGTAATATTGATTTAACGCAAAGTTAATACTTCCTTGGAAACTAATTGTACACGTGTGTAATATTGAGGCTGAAAATGTTACCGATATGCATATATTTATAGCATTCAACGATGCGATTGAGATTTAATTTCTCAAACATCTATTAGAATTTATCAAATTGTTACAGGAAATTACACATTAAAGACAATATGACGCAAAATAAATTGAAATTGTTGGATGCCTCAGACATCAAATTCATTTTTTTAATGGAAAATAATGTGTACACATTTGCATACTTGCGTATAGGCAGCTATGCACCTGAAAAAGTTGAATAGAATCAAATACGTACATACAACAAAGAAGATCCCATTCTCAGATATTTAATTAAGTGTAGCAGGTCTGATATTTGCAAGGGCAGATCTAGAAGGGGGTGGGGTGGGAGGGGGCAAAACCACCCTGGAATTTTCAGATATTAAATTTATATGTATATGTTACATGTAAATATGTAGATTTATTAGCTCTTCTGAGCCAAAGGCTCAAAGAGCTAATGCTATGGCTATTTGTGCGGTGTGCGTAAACTTTTTAGAATATGGGCCATAACTCAAGAACCCCTTGGCCAATTATTGTCAAATTTGTCACAGGGTATCCTTGGCCCAAGGGCTTCCGTTTGTTTTAAAACTAGGGTTGTGACCTTTAAACAAGGGGAGATAATTAGGAAAATAGAAACAAAAGTACTGGATGCTAAAAAATCTTCTTCTCAAGAATCACTGGGCAGATTATCACCAAACTTACACAAAAGGATGAGGATATGTTGTATATTAAAAATTGTTCAAGACATCACCTTGGGGCAAAGGGCGTGGTCTCAAGGTCACTTCAAAGTTGACCAAAAATTACATTTTATTAAAATGTTGATATTTTGCTCACTATAAAGACTAGGATCATCAAATATTGTCAGTTGATGCATCTTAGGACATCATATCATGTTGACTCAAAAATAGGTCACGGTGACCTACTTTTTAAAATATGCGGCCATTCTTTTTTAA